GAGATGGGAAGAATCAGACACACCTGTGCTGTTTACCTCTTTGGGAGGCTAGCATTTGGCTGGGCGGCCTTAGAAGATCAGTCCATGGAAGGCAAAACCTGCCTGCCACCCAGACACCTGGTCTGCTCCTGTGGGAGGACCAGGGCCAGGCTGAGCAGGGATCCCACTGTCCCCTGTGATGCAGCCACCCAGCCTCCCTTTGTCTACCTCTGCCCCAGACTTTCATTATTCGTTCTTGAGAACAGAGCTGCCTGTTTTCTTTCAAAGGTTCTAGTCACTCCCTTCACCTGATCCAGTCTCTCTCTCCCTTCCTTGGAACAGAGAAAGAAAAAGTGAATACAGAGGAGGCTAGGCTATGGGACTAGATGTTGAGAATTCCCAGGTCCTCTCTCTGCCTCTCTTCAATACTGTCCAAGGAGAGTCAGGTCTTGCCTTCTTGGCTCCATTTCCCTGGGGAGAGATTAGCTGATCTTTATTGGACCAGACCAGCCCCAGGAGAACTAGGTTCAGTGCTTGGAGATCCCCCTCAGCTTCTCCATCTGTGGGGCGCCACATAGCAGCAGCAAGGCTGAGTGAGGGGTTTATTTTAGCTGCCGTGGGAGGAGCCGTGACAGCCCAGCAGCAGAAGGCTTGGAGATGTTTCACACCCGCTTCCTTCACCAACTTCTACTTCCCACCTCCCACCTCCCTCCTCCCTCCTTCTCAGCAGCTTGGACCGGGAGTTCCAGAGAGCCCTGGCCCCTGCCAGGGGAGCCTGGCAACCATCCCTTGAGAGGTGGGAGGGGCAGAGGTGCCCCATGGACTGTGAGAGAGCCATCGCTGCCTCCCCCTTCTTCTCCTGATCCCAGGAGATGAGCAAAAGCACTTTGCCAGCATTCTCTTATCAAGGGTTCACATCAACCCGCAGGCATTATTATCCCCATTTAACAGATGAGGACACTGAGGCTCAGAGAAGTGATGGCCAAGGTCACATAGTAAGTGTCAGAAGCAGGATTTAAACCCAGGTTCTTCCTGAACCCAAGTCCAGCCACTCTATGCGTTTCTCTATTCTGCATCTCTCCTCAGCAGAAATCCCTCCTTATGATTTCTGTGAATCACCTGTCACATCAGAGATGATACCATTCAGAACAGTAGGCCATCCATTCAGGTTAGAAAAGCATTCCCTTCTGCCTTTGGGTCCATTTACCTCCGGGACACCTGCCTGGCCCACGTGAAATGAAAATAGGGTTTCAGCCCCTCCGGTACATCTCTGTGAGCCAAGGGAATGACCCATAATTCTGCCGGAAGACAAAAGGGCAGCTGACCAGGGGTTCAATATCTTACATAGAAAACCCCTCCCCCAATTGCTGCCCCTTGTCTATTAAGGCAAGAAGAGTGGGGATTGATGCTGGTCATGCAGGGCTGAAGAGAGGTGGAAAGGGCGGAACTCAAGGGGCCCAGTGGGATCCTTGAACAGTTAGGCCTGGGCAGAGGCCCTCCAATGCCAGGGTTTGTTGCCTATCAGCCACCCCTTACTAGATCTAAATCCACACTAGGAAGACTGAGATATCCTTGACCTTCAAGGTCACTGTCACAGAAGACATACACCTGGAAAGGGACCTCCAAAGCCCCTCATTTCATGGATGAGGGAGGTGAGGCCCAGAAAAGGGGCTTGCCCACGGCCATGCAATTAGTAGATATAAAGCCCAGGTCCAAGTTCAGGGCCCCTGACTTCATGCTCTGTGGAAGCTGCTTTCTTGCTATAGCCTTCAAGTTCATGGCCAGGAATCTGTCTATCTGGTCTCCTCCTACCTCCCCACCCTGGACTTAGCCCTGCTGTGTGGGGAGCCCTAGATTGGCTAGAGGGAGGGCAGTCTAAGGAAAGTGAAGCCATGGTCCCCACCCTTCTGATGAGTGAAGCTTTCAGCCAGATGGGGGAGGAGCTGTCCATGAGGGTCCATAATATGGACAGCTCCTCATCCCAACTAGACCTCACCTCATCTGCAGGATGGGTAGGCATACTGCCATGGGAGTGGAAGGAGGGCAGCCTATAGCAAAAGACACAAGCTTGAGGAAGGGCAGAGTAATGACAGTTCTGGGTGGGTGGGCTGCACTGTCTGCAGACAGGGAAGTCAAAGATGTAATTACTCCTGACTTTTGTTCTACCACTTCTGGGGTGGGCAGGCAGGCGGCTGACACTGGCACCAGCACCTGCTCTCTTCTCCCAGGCTGGGAGGCTGGGGGAGGGGAGCTCCAAGGCACCTGCATGAGAGAGATGCTTTCCTGCTGTCCCTTGAGCTCAAGTACACACACACACACACACACACACACAGCCTAAGGGAGGGAAAAGCAGCTGTGTCTTCCCCTTACAAATGCCCCTCTGACCCCATTTCCACCCTCTAGTGGCCTGGTCTGGTTCCCTCTGTCCAGCTGTGTCTGCTCGCACGTTGAGGAAGGAGCCAGGAAGGGTCTCCCAACTGGGTTGATGCCCCCAAGACTGGCAGTTGTACCAGGGAGCTGGCCCTAATGTTTATTTCCACTGCATCTCCCCAGGGTGGGTAGGCAAAAGCTGGGGCATTCCTAGCCCCTTTCCTTCCCTGCCTCCCCCCTATCCATGGCCTTACCCAGGCCTTCCATGGCAGCCCACCCAGCCCAGGGTAAAGAAATCCAGGAGGGGAGCTGGGGCCAGCTGTCAGGCCTCCTCCCGAAGGGACCTCCCCGGAAAGGGAGCCTGGAATCAGCCTTTGTCTTAATTAAAGCGCCAGTGCCTGGAGCCCCAGAGCAATGAGGCAGCATGTGACTTCCCAGGGCAGCTGCCTGAAATAGGCCCAGCTAAGGGGCCGTATTTGAGCAGAGCAGGATGGGGGACCCCTACCCCCCCATGGGCCCCTCCCACCTCCCTCCACTGCTCCATCCACCCACCCCTAGCTCCCGATGTTTTCTTTGTTTTCCTTTTACTTTTTTTTAACCCAATCACTGATTTCTTCCACGTGGAAAGGAGCTCTTCTTAGGACAGATCTGGGCCTTCTCTGCAATTACAGCATCAGCCAGGGGCACTGGAAGGGCCCGCTGCCAGGTCTTTGTGACCCCAAATCAACCTCTCTATCCACACCCCTGTGCTTTCAAACAGCTGAGTGGCAATCCTAAGAGAGCAAGGCTATTCAGGGTCTCCCACTCTGCTCCCAAAGTCCCCAAGGCCAAGCCCATGACCTTGGCCACCCCTCCTGGAGAGGTTCAAACACCCTGCCCACTGACAACAATGGGGCCTGAGCTGGATTCAGATGTAATGGAGAAATTACATTTAAATTACATATAAATAAAAATACAATTAAACATAGATAATCTTACATTTTAAAACAAAGTCAATACGTAGCCTGCAGGGATCCTTATGTATCATTGGGGTTTGACACCACTGGTCTCTACAGCAGGGGTTCTCTGCCGGGACTCCATGGAAAAAATGCAGGGGGTCCGAGAACTTGAAACTGAATGGGGAAAAACATTCCATCTTTATAATGCTAGCTATTGTATTTTATGCATTTAAAAGCATTTTTCTAAGGGTTCCAAAGGGTCCACCAGAGTGCCAGAGCCTGGGTCCATGACACAAAAAAAAAGGCTAAGAACCTCAGCCTTCAAGGGTGGGGCCAGGAGGTGATGGAGCCAGAGAAAGTGGAGGAGGAAGGTGGGGGAAGGGGGTTAAAAGTTGGAGCCTGGGAGACCTGGGTTAGAATCACCCCTCTGACACCATCTTTGTAACAGGCCCATGGGCAGGCCTTTTCTCAGTCTCAGTTTGCTCATCTGGAAGATGGAATGATAACACCCATGATTCCGCCTTCCCAGGCTTTTTTTTGGAGACCCAAGTGTAATAACGTATGTAGAGTGCATCACCAACCTAGTGGAGCGATGGCCATGTTGTCCTAATGTTGCCAGCAAGCATTCATTAAGCACCTAATGTGTGCCTGGCCCTGGGAATACAAAGACAAAAGTAAAACAATCTGTTCCCCCATGAGTTCTGTCAAGTATATCAACATATGCACCTGTAAGTAAAGACAAATCAGCTAGTATTTGTTAAACACCTCTAGGCTTCATTCTCCCATCTGTAAAATGGGGATAATAATTGCCTCTCAGAGTTATTTTGAAGATCAAATAACATCACATTTCTAAAGCACTTTGCAAACCTTACAACGCTACAAAAATGCTGGCTATTATTGTATTATTAAGCACCTGCTATGTGCCAGGCACTATACTAGGTACAAGGAGAGAGGAAAAGGGAACATTTATTAAGTGTCTACTATATACCAAGATCTATGCTAAACCCTTTATAAATATCTCTATTAAGACAAAGACAAAACAGTCCCTGCCTTCAGGGGGCTTATTTTCTATCAAATGATTGATGATAATTAATGGACTGGGCAGCTAGGTGGCGCCGTAGTGCATAGAGTGCTGAACCTGGAGTCAGGAAGACTCATCTTCCTGAGTTCAAATGTGGCCTCAGCCACTTACTAGCTGTGTGACCCTGGGCAAGTCACTTCACCCTGTTTGCCTCAGTTTCCTCATCTGTAAAATGAGCTGAAGAAGGAAATGGCAAACCACTCCAGGATCTCTGCCAAGAGAGCCCCAAGAGCTAGGACAGGAACTTCATGCAGCAGGCCACCCTGCTTTGCAGAGCTCACTAGCACTTGCAGGATGAGGGAACGGAGTCCTCTGGACTAAGCCCAGAGGAGTCCAGGCTGGGGGCAGCCAAGTCTTCCTCTCTCCTACCTACACACAGCCCTTAGAAACCGCAAGGCAGCCCCCCGTGGCCTGACACTAAGGGCACCAGGCTGAAATGGATAGGGCCATGGAGCCTAAGAGGGGCTCTTTGGCAGTGGAGGGTGGGCGACATGTGTGTGCCAATGGTGCCTTCTTCCCTGGCTTGGGTCTATCGGTAGGGGCATGGTACACCTCCACCTCCATAAGCATCCACTCGTGTTTGTGTGCAGGCAAAGGACAGCGATGATGATGATGAGGTCACCGTTACCGTGGACCGAGACCGCTTCATGGATGAGTTCTTTGAGCAGGTGGGAGCCCAGTGTGTTGTCCCCATCCCCAGCCCCACCTAGGGACCCCGAGTCAACTCCTACAGAGCAGTACCCTTGCTCGGACACACCCTTTCATTTACATCATTAATTCAACCAGAAATTATTAAGCACCTACTATGTGCCAAGTACAGTACTAAGCATGGGGGAGATAATGACAAAAAAAATGAAACAATCCCTGCCCTATAGGGGCTCACATTCTCTCAGGGGAGATAATACATATATGTATTTATACGTGAGTCTGTTGCAATGTGCATATATACACCTGTATGCACTGTGTGTACACACATGCACTGTCTATATGTCCCAACAAGCTCTCAGAAGATGTGGAATAAGAGGAAACAGAGCCTTCCTCCTTACTGCTCTCAAACCATGAGAGTAAAGGGTGATTGGAAAAATGTGGCTACAAATCCCTCCTGAAGCCTTCCCTGAGGGCATCCTTTGAGGTGTCTTGCTCTGGAGATGGGGTGAGGGGGCCCCAGAGCTGAGTACTCAGATGGATGTAAGTGTTGGGAGAAGGAGCTGAGCTAAGGGCTGTCTGGAGACCCTCAGGGAGACATCAGAGGTGGTCCTGAAGAGAAGAAATCAGAATCCCACCTGAAATCTGTCTACTGCTTTCTAATTTTCAAAGCACTTTAAATACTTTACTCTGGACTTAGAGTCAGGGAAGCAGGTTCAAATCTTACCTCTGATGCTTACTGTCTGTCTGTCTGTGATTATACTCTCTGGGCTCTGAGGTCATTTCTGGTTCTAAATCTATGATCCAGTGTGATCTTTGTAACAACCCCATAAGGTGTGATGGATGGACAGCTATTTATCCATCAGAGAGTTATCTGAAGAGAAGTAATGGTTTCCCCCAGGTCACACAGCAAAAGATGGGACTAGAATCCAGCTCTTTGGACTTATGGGCCAGTGTCACCCCTTCACAGAGGGGACCAGTCCCAGCTCACTACTCCATTCCCAACCAAGCTGCTTCCAACCCCCTTCCCCCTGGATCTATCCAGGGCAAGTGTTGGGCCCAGCTGTGCCTCTCACCCTGACTTGTCCCCTCCCCAAATTTCTCCCCAGGTGGAAGAGATCCGGGGTTTCATCGACAAGATCTCAGAGAATGTGGAAGAGGTGAAGAGGAAACATAGCGCCATCCTTGCTGCCCCCAATCCTGATGAGAGTGAGTAGGGGTGGGAACTTGGAGCACGTGCGTGAGGATCCTCACTGAGGCCTCCCCTAAGAAAGCAGACTTCAAGGTCTCTGACCCTGGAGATGGGGCCGGGGGGCCACACGGCTAAGTATGAAGATGGAGAGATGGGAGGGGCCTCAGACGCCATCCAATCCAAATCCCTCATTTTACAGATAAGAAAGCTGGGGCCTGGAGGAATCACTGATTTACCTAAGGTCACCCAGGCAGTCAGTGTCAGAGATGGGATTTGAACTCAGGTCCTCCTATGCCAAAGTCAATGTTCTTTCTATTGTCTGTCTACTGTGCCTCCTTGGGCAGGGTTAGGAGGTAGAAGAAGAATCAGAAGTCTCTGAAGGCAGGTCCTCTTCCCCTTTGCTAGATTCCTTACCCCAGAGAAGCAAGCAGAAGTGAGTTCCCCAACCTGTGCCCCTGCTCTCCAGGCAACCAAGCTCCCAGCCCTCCTGTCCTTCCTGCCCTGTTGGCAGGCAGCACCCTGTCTGCCTGTCCTGGAGTCAGGGGAGCAGCTGTGTTGTCTGGGAGGAGGCTGATGAGGTAGCTGCACACACACACACACACACACACACACACACACACACACACATGCCACACCTCCCCTTCCCAAGAGGAGCAGATGGCAGCAGAGGCCAGGGCTCTCTCTGCTGCTGCCTGTCAGCCACGTCAGCTAGTAGAGGGCACTGGAATGATGTTGGGTCTACCAACTGTCCTCATAGAGAAAAGTGTGTGTGCTGGGGACATGGAGGACAGCCCAGCAGCAGAGCCCCAGGGATGGGACCTCTTCCCCAGCACCCCAAGTTGGCATTTGCCCCCCATTGCCAGCCCTCAGCCCTTCTCCAATATTCATTGATTACCCTGTGCCTTTAAATAATTGTTAGAATTTGTATAGCCTTTAAGGATTGACAGAGTCCTTTCCTACTGAATGTCATCTCTTTTGATCTTCACAGAAACCCTGTGTGGGAGGTGCTGTTCTTATCCCTATTTTACAAATAAGGAAACTGAGGCAGGCAGAGGTGAAGTGACTTTCCCAGAGTCACATAGACAGTGTCTGAGACAGTATTTGAACTCAGTTCTTCCTAATGCCAAGCCCAGAGCTCTATCCACTGCACTCTCTAGTGGTCATGGGCAGACAGTTCCCCAAGCACAGCCCTGAATCTTACAAAGTCAGAATTGAGTGAGGGAACTTTCTTAATGCGCCCGGCACTGTTCTTGGTGCTGGGGGTACAAAGACAAATACGAAACAGTCCATGCCCTACTGTTATTCTTATGTGTCCCATTTTTAGGGCATTTGGAAAGAGTATTTGGGAAAAATCAGTTAATCATTAAATATCCCTCCAGAAGCCTGGAATCACAGAGTTAGAAAGACCCTCAGAGGTCCATCCAATCCAGCCTCTCAGTACAGTGGTAAGAATGCTGGCTGTGAAGTGCTTATCACTACCCCAGAAGGCTGGACAGGATGGCTTTGTGTCTCACCTTTGCCACTTACTACCTGGATAGCCTTGGGCAAATCATTTCCCCCTCTCTAGTCCTCAGTTTCCACATCTATAAAATGAAATGACCTCTAAAGACCCCTTCTAACATCTCAAAATCCTCAGGTCCTATAACCTGAGCAGGGGTTTCCTTCTAGAATAGGAGAGCCACCCAAAGATCACAAATATAATGGAAAGAGAACTCCATTTGGAGCCAGAAGACCCAAATTCCAATCCTGGCTCTCCCACTTGACTGCCTGTGTGGCCCTAGATAGGTAAGTCACATCTGATTTCAGGGCCTCAGTTTCTTCCTTTGGAAATGAGGGGTTGGACTAGAAATGAGACAATATGTATAAAGAACTAGATGAAATTTAGCTATGACTATTATTCCAGGTCTGATTCTATCATCTTTGTGGTTCCCATTGTATTGAGAGTGGAATTGGGATATGCCCCATTGAGCTTGGAGTGGGTATATACCAAGGAACAACTCAGGGATTTCTGCATTACTCAGAACCCCATATCCTTTAGCATTGAGCCACATCTGCCCCCAGATGTTGCCTGTGAGCTTAATACATGCTAGATGGGGTATACTTCCATCCAACCCCCACTACACTACTTTGGGGTAACTAATTGTTAGGATATTTTTCCTGGGGAGGGGGGAAGGGAGGATAACCCTTTAAGTAGGTGAGGAGTGTCCCAAATATTATTAAGAGTCGGAAGTAAGAGGGCAGCTAGGTGGTGCAGTGGATAGAGCACCAGCCCTGAAGTCAGGAGGACCTGAGTTCAAATCCAGCCTCAAACCAAACACTCAACACTTACTAGCTATGTGACCCTGGGCAAGTCACTTAATCCCAATTGCCTAACAAAAAAAAAAAAAGGAGTCAGCAGTAAGAAAAAGAGAGATGAGAGAGACAAGGAGGAGGAAGCAGCTGTGGTCTGAATTGAACAGATTCCTCAGATGTCATCCTTGGAAAAGTGGGGAGAAGGAGAGATGAGTAGGACTACATTAATAGCATGTATGTGCATGTGTCTACATATACACATGCATGCAGGTATGTCTCCTTGGATGAGGAGGAGAGAAGAGCAAGATTCCATTAGGAGTGTGTGTCTGTGTTTTACGTGAAGGTTGTAACTTTCCTTCTTCCCTAGGAAGCTTCTCAAGGGGGAGGGAGAAGATCGAACTAACCACATTCTCTCTTTCCCTTGCCTCCCTCCAACACCCCCTCACCCTCACAGGCATGTACCTCCCCCCTCCCCAGCTGTGTGCACACACAGAGTGTGATCAGGTCTCCGAACAGAAACTGCTGATTCTGGTGATAACGAAAGCCAAAATCTCACTTCCTCCAAGGTGGAAGGGTCCTGGAGGGGGAGGGCTAGTGTAGCCAAAGCCCTAAGAGTTGGGAAAGAGTCAGTCAAGCTCAGCTAAAAATATTGGCTGACCTTCCTTCCAGGCTTTGGCATGGGGGGGGGGGGAGCTTCATGCCTCAGTTTCCTCCATTAGGACATTTAACTAAGTAGAGGAAAAAGAGTTAAGCATTTGAGGACTTAGCAAAGCTGAAATGGGGAGCCCAGGCTGGTATAAGCAGCAGAGGGGAAGAGAGTAGGGGAAGGGAAGGACCAGTGGGGACAGTGAAGGGAACTGAGGTTACCACTTCCTACCTGTGTTACCGTGTGACCTTGGGAAAATCATTTAACCTCTCTGGGCCTCAGTTTCCTCCTCTGAAATGAACTAAATCACTTTCAGCTCCACATCTATGGTTCTGTGCCCCCCTTCTCTAGGGACTGGGATGTCAGCCCTGTTATTTTTCTTTTTCATTTGCACAGGAAGGCCCAGTTGATGGTGTAGCTATTAAATGAATTTTCCCCTCATTAAGGGGTAACAAGGCTCTTACTTAGCCATCTCTTCCTCCTCTTTGGTCCTCACTCCAACCCCTAGAGACAGTTTTCCACTCCCGTCTGCCCCCCTCCCAATCTTCCCTCTCCCATGCTGTGTTTGGGGAGTTTCTGCTCTCTGAGGCTCTGCTACTCAGCTGCCCTCCATGCCCCTAACACACACACTCTTCTCCATGAGAACAGACAGCCAGCCCATCATCATGCCAAGAGTAGCGTTTGTGTGATTACTTCCATGAGCTAATTGAGGTTTGGGGAGAGGAAATTGGCCCTGGAATGTAAGTGAAAGGATTTCTCCTGGGCTCTTGCAGAAGGGAACACAAATTCCAGAACCTCCCCACCACCACCACCCTTAGAGTACCTGGTGGTAGATGTCTGGAATGGGAGCTTTCTGAGATGAGAGGTATAAAAGGATCTCAGGGTTAGGAATGGCAGAGAAGGGGCTAAGTATGAGGAATGGAAAGGGCTTAGAGCCAGGCAAGGAGAGGGAAAAAGAAGAGGAGGCTGTGTCAGTGGTATGCCCAGTGTAGGAGTGACATCCTAAAGGACAGGGTGTCCAGAGGTACAGGACATTGCTACATAGTACACACACACACACACACACACACACACACACACACACAGGCAAGGGCCCCCACACTTATGCCTTCTGCCAGGGCCTCTCCTGGGTTGTAAAGAGGTGAAAAGGGGGCCCTTCCTATCCAGGGACCATTCCCTCCATGGCCACAGAGGGCATTGCCCTACCCCACCCGTCCCACCTCTCTCTGCACCAAACCTCAATTAAATGTGCCTACAAAGCCAGCCGCTCCACAATTGCTCCTGCCTTAAATTTAGACCCCACTCATTTGTTATTTGAAGGAATGGGGGAGGGAGGGGCAAAAGTGTTTCAGAGGACAAAAATACTAGGGAGTTGGGGTGGGGGAGACTAGAATGGAAATGTAAGCCCCTCCCAGCTGCCTTGGAAATCTTCTTCTGCTGTCTAAAAGGCTAAGCATGCCAGTAGCCCCGGTCCCTGTCCCAGGTGCTGAATAAGGGGGTGGCGCCTCAGAAAACCTGGGTGGAGAATTCACCTTTTGATTAAGAGCCATTTAAATTGCTCCCCAGCAAAATTCCACTGGTGGGGGTTGGGGGATTGGGGATGGAGTGAGAGACACCAGAGGGTACCCAGGAGTTCCTGCTTTGAGTTCCCTCCTCACCCCACAGGCTGAGCCTGGCTGGGAGGGAGCAGGGCTGGTAGTGGACTTCTCTGAGCCCTAAGAACTCTATCTCCTCTTCCTCCTCCTCCCCACACCACTAGAGACAAAAGAAGAGCTGGAAGAACTCATGTCAGACATAAAAAAGACTGCCAACAAAGTCCGATCCAAATTAAAGAGTGAGTATGTGATGGGGGGAGGGGGGAGGGGGGAGGTTGGGGTGGGGCACCCTTTGGAGCCCTCAACTGTTTCTAGATGAGTCTGCCTCACTTCATGCTGCTGCTGGGTTCCTGAACCCCTGAGTGTGAATCAAATTCTATTTTTACTGTGAAAAGGGGGGAGGTAGTTCTTAGTGATGTAAAAAGACTATGCCTTGAGCTCCTTGTATAAAAAGAAGCATTCTTTTGTAAATTTCTCCCTCTCTTCCCTCCTCCTTTATTTTCATATATTGGATTTGGTTAAAGTGAGACCCATCCTACCAAGATGTGTACCTTCTGGGCTCTCTGGATGCATACAACCTCACCTTCTGCTCCCTTTCCAAGCTCTTGCAAACATAAACCTTTTAGGAAATCTTTCCCAAACTTGGTAACTTAGGGGCAGGTTGGTGCCATGGGTAAGCAAAGGAAGCAGCGTGGTATAGTGGAAAGAACCTTGGATTTGGAATCAGAGGCCCTAGATTTGAATCCTGGTTCTACCCCTATCATTCCTTGTGTGATCTTGTAGTCAATCAGTAAACATTTATTAATTGCTTTCTGTACATCAGGCCTTGTGCTAAGTGCTGGGGGATACAAAAAAAAAAAAGACAAAAACAGGTGCTTAAATATTAATAGGGAAGTCTACCTGTAAATAGATAGCTCTATAAATGATATATATGTAATATTGTTCAGGCTTATCCAACTCTCCATGACCGCATTTGAGGTTTTCTTGACAGAGATCCTGGAGCCGTTTGCCATCTCCTTCTCCAGCTCATTTTACAGATGAGGAAACTGAGGCAAAGAGGGTGAAGTGACTTACCCAGGGTCACACAGCTAGCAAGTGTCTAAGGCTGGATTTGAACTCAGGTCTTCCTGACTATGGACACAGAGCTCTATCCATTGCCACCTAGCTGCCCCTAAGGTACCAAGAGTAGAAAGAAGGTAACCCTGCAAGGTAACACTCTCTTAGCCTCTGTGGGCCTCAGAGGGCCCTTCCAGCTCTAGACCTAACAACCAATAATGTAAGAAAGGCGCTTTTAAAACCCTGAAAGCATTGTGCAGACGGGAGTGTTATTATCTGGTTTTGTGTTTTAGTTTATTTTCATTTGGTCAGATGAGTGGGAGGAGCTGCAATGGGCCTCAGGAGACCCAGGTCTGAGTCCTGGGTCCGTCACTGATGCACTGTGTGACCCTGGGCTTGTCACTTGCCCCCAGTATCCTCACCTATAAGATGAGGGCATTGGCCTAGATGATTTTGGGGGGTCTCTTTCCAACTGACTCAAGGCAGCTAGGTGGTGCCACAGTGCATAGAGCACCAGGCCTGAAGTCAGGAAGACCTGAGTTCACATGCAACCTCAGACACTTCCTAGCTGTGTGACCCTGGGTAAGTCACCTGTTGCCTCAGTTTCCTCATCTGTAAAATGAGCTGGAGAAGAAAATGGCGAACCGCTCCAGTATCTCTGCTGAGAAAACCCCAAACGGGGTCACAGTGAGTTGGACACCACTGAATAACAAATTCCAACCGATGTCCTCTGGTTCTGAGTCTGTGTTGGGGTCACGAGAGCAGTCTTGTGACCTGTGGAGCTGTGGGCTCTTTTCTAGCTTCTGCCACTTACAAGCCTAGACTTAGAACTGGGCCTCTGAGGTCATCTAGTTCACCCCCTTCATTTTACAGATGAGGAAACTGAGGCCCAGAGCTTCAAAGGTCACCTAGACCAACCTTTCCATTTTACACATGAGATAACTAAGACCCCAGGAAGTCGTGAGTTGCCCAAGGTCACACAGGTGGTAACCATTGCTCTCTGGAATAATTTGAACCCAGCTCCTCTGACCCCAGAGTCAGTGCTTTTTCCAGGTTGCCTCTCTTTTTAATTTATTACTAAGCTTTGTGACCCTGAGCAAGTCACCTCCCCTCTCTACACCTCAGTTTTCTCATCTGTAAAGCTAGAGACTTGGTCCCTTTCATCTCCAGCCTATGAGTCTATATCCCTTCCTGAAGTCGGGTGAAGGTGGGGGAGGATCAGTGCTTTTCACTCTCCAGCCTGGCAGGAAGGGGAGACCTGGGGGGTGGGGAGTGGGCCTCAGGGTGTAAGACTGAACCACAAGCCTTGCTCCTCCCTAGGTATCGAGCAGAGCATCGAGCAGGAAGAGGGACTGAACAGGTCGTCTGCAGACCTGAGGATTCGGAAGACACAGGTGAGGGGGGGAGGGCATGGGATAGATGGGGGGGAGCACTTGGCTCCGGGTCATCTCCAAAAGCTGGCAGCCAGCCAGCAGAGGCCAAGCTCATCTGCCTGCCTGCTGTCTCCTAGCACTCGACATTGTCCCGGAAGTTTGTGGAGGTCATGTCCGAGTACAACGCCACCCAGTCTGACTACAGGGAGCGTTGCAAAGGCCGAATCCAAAGGCAGCTGGAGATCAGTGAGTGCACAGCGGGGCTGGCAGGGGTGGGCAGTTCTCATGCCCTTGGCCCAGTGGTTGGGAAGGGTTAAGGAGACCAGGCAGAGGAGAGGAGAGAGGGGGACAGAAAGATGTCTGTCTCACCTCCTTTGGGTTCCCTGCTACATACAGCTGGCAGAACCACCACGAGTGAAGAGCTGGAGAACATGCTGGAGAGCGGAAACCCTGCCATCTTTGCTTCAGGGGTAAGTGGTCCAAGCTGGGGCCCTTTTCTTTTTCCAGAGGCTGTGTGGTTAGGCACCTAAAGCAATGGGTTTGGGCGCCGAGGGCCTGGGTTCAGATCCTGACTCTGCAGAGTCACCTTCACCTTCCTGGCCTTCCTTTTCTTTCGGTGACGGGCTTGGTCCCTCTGACAGCTTCTAAGGCCTCTCCTAGCCCTGTGACCTCATGACTTTTTCGTTCTCAGAAGGGAGACTGCACATCCTTTGTAGACAGAGACAAAGCCCAGTCTACAAAGGAGACACTTGCAGGCAGAGGGCTTAGATGGGAATCTAAGCCCCCATGACTGGGGATGATACCTTCACCACTATGGGCCTCAGTTTCCCCCTCTGAAAATTTAGATGATCTTTAAGCTCTCTTCCAGCTTGAAATCTATGATCCTGATTCTGGATCCTGGATCCTGGATTCCTATTACCCTCTTTACTTGTATCCTTTTTTTTTTAACTGTGCTTTTCCAGTGCTCAGCATTGTGTGTGGCATACAGTTGGTGCTTAATAAATGTTAATGAATTTCATTGTTATCAGGAGTTCCCAGTTAGGAACTCTCTCTACCAATGTAGATGGACACCAGTAGTCTTAGATATTTGCCTGAAGTACTGAAAGATTTCAGTTACTTGCCCAGGATAACAAAGCCAGGATGTGGTCAAGGTAGATTTGAACTCAGGTCTTCCTAACTCCAACACCACCTCCTTCCACTAGTCTCCTCTGTCTCTTTCTTACAAGCCTACCTAGGATAAATCTAGAAAGGCTTCCTGTAGGAAGCAGGTGGTGATGAGTAGGCAATGCATTTGCATTTGGAGGATGTCAGGGGGATCTTGGCTTTCTCTGCCCTAGACCCAGGAGCACCAAGGCAGGGTGAGAGAAAAGACTGCTGGGTTCAAAGGAGGTGAGCTCAGGCTTGTGTCTTCACCATCTGTCTATCAAAGCCTCAGATGAAATGTGCAGATGACACAGACCCAGCAGGGATCGCTAACGGGGGCGGGGAGACAGAATCAGGGTCCCAGAGGCTCTTGACAACCTAGGATACTTGGACAAACCTAATAAGATGACTTTTCAGAAGGATAAGTGTAAGTCTAACATTTGGGGTCCAAAAATGAGTTCCTCTGAATAAGATAGAAAAGTTTTAGTGGACTACAAGCCCAAGGCGTGATATGACAGTGAAGAAAGAGACTCCTCCCCTAGGCTCCTGGAAGACAGGCAGAGCATCCACGGGGAGGGAGCTGAAAGCCCCATCAGACTCTGCTCAGGGCACCTCTAGGGCTCTGCATTCACTTCTGGGCCCAGGAGGTTAGGAAGGACATGGACGAGGTAGTGAGGATTCAGAGGACAGCCACCAAAATGACTAAGTGCCCCTAGATCTCAGCATATGAGGCTTAGTGGGAGGAACCGGGATGTTTAGCAGGGAGAAAATGAGGACATGGTAGCTCTCTTCAAGGAGAGGGGGGCTAGGGATAGGGTTTCCCAAAAAGAAGGGAGAGAAGAAGGGATGGAGAGAAAGGGGGGGAGAGAGAAAGACAAGAAGGAGGAGAAGGAAGGAAGGGAGGGAGAAGGGAAGCAAAGGGAAAAGGGAGGAAAGGAAAAGGCAGAAGGGAGGGGAAGGGGAAAAGGGGAAGAAAGAAAATAGTCACTGTGCATTTTTTTAAGTGCACCGACAAAAACAGAACAGAGACCAGAAAGAAACACAGCTTTGGAAGTTCCATTTTGGATTTATTTTGTGTGTGTGTGTGTGTATTGTATATATGTGTATGTGTATGTGTACATATATATATATATAT